AAATTCCGTGATTAAAATCTTACTATCTTTATTAGCTTGGTCCCATCAAAGCCCACTTGAAGCATTTTAGTTCAAAAGATTGTAACAATTTTTACGCCAATATAGAGAAAAGTTTTATTTTCTTGCTAACAAGCTCAATCATTAAGCATGCTTGATTTATATTTAGGCTGATGTGTTATAAGCTATGGATTATGGCGTACCATGCAACCCATACTTATACAGTAAAATCTTTATAAATTAATAATGTTGAGACCATGAAATTTTATTAATTTATCGTAATTATTAATTTATAGAGATAATCTGGTTTTCGCCTATAATCTTCTAAACATTTTTTTTGAATAATATTAAATTTAAGAATTTAAGAAAATATTTTATTAAAAATTATGATTAATAAACATAGTTATCATAATAAAAAAGTTTTTAATAGTATATTAATTTGTCTATTAAAAATATACATGTTTAAAATTTCAAAATTTATAAGAAACTATGGCTATTATCAAAAAGATGAAATTGAAGATAATATTACAATACATTTGTAAACAATTACGTGTAAGAAAATCAATTATCACATCAAAAAAATCTTCACAAATTTGAATGTATATCGAAAAACAAAAATAAGAGATAGAAATGTACTAAGTAAAAAGATAAACACCAATGAAATTTTAATTTTAAGTAAAAAAAATACATTAGTCATATTTTAGTATAGTATATTATATTTATTTGCATAAATTTGTATAATTATTAATTTATGTTTTTGTTGGGATCATATATTTACATAGGGATTTCAAAAAAAACTATTATTTTATTATCTTATCGAATTTGATTGAATTTTACATTGGTCTGATTTGGGACCGACAAAATTTATTATTTTATAGTGATTATTAATTTATAAAGTATTAATTTATAGAAATTTTACTGTATTCCCATTTCTTACATCGTAATATGTAGCATCAAGACACGGGCTCATACGATCTTTTTTGGTTTTTTTGAAACTCATACGATCTTAAATCGGCTTCGGTTCCTACAAACCAGTAAGAGTTATATTCAATTAATCAATTAGGTTTGTTTTTTTTGGTAGTTTCTTTTGTAGTCTAAAAGAATTTTTCTTGCCCGATCCCATTTCCTATATATATTGTTTTTGGTATGATCGTATCTTATTTTTCGTTACCGTTAGTATTTTTTTTTTCTTATGGTTTTTGCTGATTCATGAAATAATGTCATCGAATCATGAAGGGTCCTTATTTGGGTTGATATAACTTCGGCTTTGAATCGAGTTATTCAGGACAGAAAAAGTTCAAAGTATCAAAAATGTTGAAAGTAAAAATAATTTTAGTTTTGGTCCCAAAAAAAAAAATTAGTCTACAATTATATTGACATTGGTCATATATATAGTAACAAATAAACAAATAAAGAATCATGTTTAAATTGATTCGAATTAATATATTAGTTTCTTTCTGTTTGTGCGGTATGGAAAATTCATAAAACCGATCATTGTGAATAAATGATTTTATTATTGGTTAATTTGCTTAAATCCAGTTTTCAAAACCTACCCCTTATATTTGTAGTGGATTTGGTACTAAAAGACACTACTGAGAGACTGCAAGTGGTTCGGACGTACAAATGGCAATTAGTACTTTATGAAAGTTATAACTCATTGGTCCAATTATGTATGTTCTTAGACGAGTGTCCGTCTAGTCATTCTCCACTCCAAAATCTTAGTTACTTCTTGTCTTAAACCAACCTTGCCAATTTGGTTGTCTTTAATACGTAAATAACTTATATACTTTTCATGTATTTTTGTGGAAGTGGTTATTCACAATTACATTGTTGACACATATTAAAAGAAGAGATTAGTTTTTAATTAAAAAAAATGTCAAGATCATTAATGGTCAATCTCCTTTGACGACCAAAGACTGGTGGGGGACTCTCTTGATGTCAACAAAGGTAGAGTAGTCTTTGTTCATTGGCTGTTTCCATGGCTCTCCATCCATTTGCATAAACGCATCTTTCCATTCTCCTCCTCTTATCTCTAGCCGTATCGCCGCCGCCTGTAAGTAAAAAATAATAATTCTTCTTTGTTTTAGCTACCGCATATTAAGAATGCATTCTTATCTGAAAAGTAGAATTATATTTGAGGATTAAATCAAAACACTGACGGAAATATTGTCCATCCCTAGTTATGATGAGCTATATAGGTCAGTATATATGGACCGTATGGTCTATGTAGTTTTGAAATAGGCTAATATTTTAGACCTAAAGTGACTTGAGAGGCAAATCGACGGTTCATTGTTAACTATAAAGCAAAAATAGCATGTTTGATGGATCCGATCAGTCTCGGTTAAGGATGGAATGGTATTATAATGCTGTGCATGTGGCTGGTCCTGACCCTACGTTATTTCATAATCGAAAAAGTTGGTCCGGTTCTGATAGACCAGGTTTGGTGTACATCAAAAAGAAGTACCTGAGCAATGTGTTTGGCAGAGATGAGTTCGACCATAACGAAGGAAGCATGCCATCCTTGCTTTAACCCAAAGATCTCAAGAAGTCCATCATCGGCTTGGGCCTCCACAAAGCCTCTCTGTTACGTATTAGTCAAGAAATCGTCAATACGGTGAATAATGAAGAAGAAGAAGAAGAATGAAGTGAGAAGATATGGCTTTGTTTTACTTTTTCAAGATAATCTTGTTTGAGATTTCCCCAAGGGCTTCTTCCACTTCCATAACTATTTAGATTCAATGCAACAACTGCTCTTACACTGACCCAAAACCAACAAAAACACAAGTTTAATTAGAAACCCAATTGTTGTTAAAAAGTAAAAAATTGTTCATTTATCTCTGTTCTGTAGTTACCTTTTGGGAACTGGTACCTTGTCCCACTCAGATGAGTCTAGCTTTTTGATATGCAATGTCATTATGTTCTTGAGACCCCTAAAACACGAAAAGTACAAATCGGTTTAGACAACATTTTGATGTAGTAACATTTGTTGTTTTGGTGTTTATAAAGACCTTAAACCCGGGTCGTTTATGCAATGCGTCATGAACCAACCCTGAGAGCAACCGTAGCCCGAATATATAATCTGCAACAACAAAACATTAGATTTTTCTTTTCTTCTTAAAAATCAAACTCTCAAGAGATTTGGTATTTTTACCTTATTGGCAATAGGGCCATTCGCAAGGTAAGGCTTTTCATTGCGCAAATGGTGAAAACCGTAAGCCACTTGAGCATACATACCTATACTAAAGTAATTGTAGAAAACTCCTTCATAACCATTCGTTGATGGAGGCAACTCTCCCTCTATCTCCAAACTCTGCAACACACAAGATTAGTTAAACCATGATCCAAACACTAATTAATTACCACAAAGATCTTGTTTCTTTTTCTTTTTGGTATAAATGAAAATCAGACCTGGTCAATAGAACACTCTTTTGTGGTCTTTAGAGAATAAGGAGGATCCTCAATTTCACCAGAAGGCATTGTAATCAAAATATTCCAACTGCATCAATAATTTCAAACATATTAAGTAGAGCTCGAGAACAGATTGTTCGTATCATTTGATTTCTCAATACTAATTTCACCTATCTAGACGGCTTATTGGAGCAATACTTGCCCTATGAAGTGTTCGTTTTATCGCAGACTTCCACGCAAATGGGAAAGAACCGCCCTAAAACACCAATACAGCCCCACTAAGAACAGAGTTTCTCATAAGTTTAAGGATACAAACAAAGACAGTAAGATCTTTCTCTACCCATCCGAAGCTTCTAGAAAGATCGTTTCCGGTTCCAAGTGGCATTATAGCAACCGGAGGAACAGGTTGACGGTTATGTATATTGAGTTCACCGAGACATCCTAGAACCCAACCAACGGTTCCATCTCCACCTGCAACCTGTAATGAGTGATCAAACCAGTCGCAACATAAAATGATTTCCAAAAATCTACAAACTTTAAGATTCGATCAATCAACAAAACCAAAAAACAAATACCACAAGTCTCATCTTTTCACGAATCTCTTTAGCACAATCGTCTCCTTGTGCTGCTAATACCTCTAAGCAACCCAATCCATATCGAATAAACTCGTTAGGCTTCACTTCCGTTAGATCAAACACCTGCAAATTTCAGACTATAAGAAATTCAATTTCTTCCCTAAAGTGTGTGATTGAAATCGGAATGTGTACCTGTTCTTCGCTGATCAGATTTTGGAGGCGTTCTTTGATGAGAGGACCTTGACGGCCACCGCTTTTGGGATTAACGAAGACCATCATAGGAACTTCCGGCGTGTGATAGATGTCTAACGGTGGCGCTACGGTGGAGGAGGAGGAAGCGGCGGAGGAGTCGTCTTTACGGAGGATGCAGTCACGGATTGCGAGGCGGAGATATTTGGGAAGCATAACTCTTTGACGAAGCTCTGCTTTAGAGACCCTTATGCTTGCGAGATTCACCAATTGATAGACTTTCATCGCTCCAAACGAATCGAGTGACGAATGGCGTGGAATCATCCTCGCCGTCAATGAGTCTCCGATGGACGACGGTGAGTCCATCTCTCTTTATCTGAAGGAAAGACCCCAAAAAGATGGAAACTTTTTGATCTTCCTCTATTCAAAAAAATATGAAATTCGATGGCTTGTATAACAGGGCAGATTGGGATTTGTTGTTTTTTTTAATGTGTGTGTAGGTTTACAGACGATGAAAAAGATAAGAAGCTTGAATCTTTGATCAAGGAAGGTTAAAATCCGGAAAATCAAAAATTAGTTAGCGGAAGAAGAAGACAAGAATTGAAACAGATCGGAGAGGAAGAGAGGGAGAGATTTGTTCTGTTTGTTTTTGTTTTCGACCGTTTAGCATTTTTTCAGGATAATATATACCTTCCCCTTTCCCACCACCAAAGTTCGTTTCGGAATTGTTGTTTATATGGGCCCATAAAAATAAATCCATTGGGCTTAAATAAAGGCCCATGTATAAAGCCTGCAGATTTAATCTGCAATTGAAAGGAATGTCAATGGCGGATCTGCCACTGTCATCAGTCACCACCGAAGAAGACTAGACTCAACTCAACTGAAACACAAAGTTTGAAGCTTTTAAGGTGAGCTTCTCTTGTCTTCCTTGTCTACATTTGGCATTTTTATCGATTTGATCAAAGGTTAGGTTCTTAGGGTATTAGAAATTTGTAGCTATAGATGATACTGAATAGATCAGAACAATGCATAGTTTATCCAACAAACTGGTTTGCTACTGTTTCATGTGAAGTGGTGTTATTTTCCAATTAATCGATCTGGAAGTAAGAAAAGTTGATTCTTGGCCTAATCATCTGGTGTTTTAACTCTGTTCTAAAGAATTTATCTTTTAGAAAATGTTGATTGTGCGATGGTATTTCAGATGTCAGAAACAGAGTTTAAAGTGGTGCTAGAGACTTTCACATTCCCTGCTGATTCAGCTCCCTTCAAGAGTTGCCATGCCTCTACTATCGTTGAGGTTAAGACCACCACTAGTCTTCTTGCTTTGCCATTTACTAGTCTTAGTGATGGATTGGCCCCGAACTCAGCGGTTTCATACATATTTCTTGTGAAAAAGGTTGGTAAAGATCACTTTTTGACTGCGTATTTCGGAGGCACGTTTGAAGGAGCATCTGATGTCAAAATCTGGCTGCAGCATTTCAAGGTAGACACACTCTTTCAATCATTTGGAGTCTCGAAATCATAGTCTTGTGTAAAAATTTATTGGTTCTCAGGATGGTCAATGGCAATCACCGGTTATTGTCGATGAAGAGCTAGGAGTTCCAATGTGGAACCCTGTCTTGTTCAAGCTTCCATCTCAAGAGCTATTATTGTTCTACAAAATCGGTCAGGAGGTTCAGAAGTATGTCTCTTAATTTATCGGATAACCTATTGTTTGTTTCATTTTTCTTTGATCTGTCTGTTTTTTTCTTTTCCTTTTGACGAAAAGCTCAGATGGAGCGGTTGCATGAAACGGTCATATGATAAAGGTAGAACCTGGACTAATAGAGAACAGCTTCCTCCCGGGATTCTCGGACCCATTAAAAACAAGGTGCTTGTTGCATTGCATAGACTCCATTACTCGATAAAGATTAAACCTTTTTGTATTGCCTAGAGTTGTAGAGTTAGCTTCCTTCTTTGTTCTTCTACAGCCTATTTTGCTGGAAGATGGAACACTCCTTTGTGGATCGTCTGTTGAAAGTTGGAATTCTTGGGGAGCGTGGATGGAGGTTTTTGCTCAAACTTTTTTTGATTTGCTTCCTATACCATCCATCGAGTATGCTCCATATCGGTTTTATGATGAAATGTGTGTGTACAGGTAACTTCAGACGCTGGTCGATCATGGAAAAAACAAGGGCCAATCTACATTCAAGGGATGAGTCTTAGCGTGATCCAACCGGTTCCATACCAAACCGCAGCTGGGAAATTACGGGTTTTACTCAGATCATTCACCGGCATTGACAGAATCTGTATCTCAGAATCTTCTGATGGTGGTGAGAACTGGAGTTTTGCTACACCAACAGTTCTCCCAAACCCAAATTCAGGTTTCTTGAAACCGAAACAGAGTAGTCTTGGCTTTAAAAGCGCCATTTATTGATGAAAATATCGACAGGTATTGATGGAGTCAAGCTTAAGGATGGTAGGCTAGTGCTTACTTACAACACTGACTCAAGAGGTGTGCTCAAAGTAGGAGTTTCTTTAGACGACGGTGATTCTTGGACCGATGTTTTGACATTGGAGGAATCTCCGGGAATGGAGTTTTCGTACCCGGCGGTTATACAAGCCGATGACGGGAACGTCCACGTCACCTATACTTATAACAGGACACAGATTAAGGTATAACTAAGACAGTTAAATGTGATTAACAAAAAGAGGTTAATAAAGTTGGGTTTCTTTGATGTATTTATTCAATCACTTTTGAGTGGTCTCTATACGCAGCATGTTGTGCTCAAGACTGCGACAGATATCGATTCGAAGCCATACCGGAAACACGGTGAAGCAGGTGGGAGACACGTGGGCTTTGGTTTGTACGAACCATCATTAAGTTGATTAGCCATTTGGATCGAGTTTTTGTCTGAATTATGGATGTGGAGTGTGACATTATTCTTACGGAAGAGGAAAAATTGTTCTCTTTCTTGTCTTGTAAGTTATGGATTGATCGAGTCTTGAGTTTATAAATTTGCTACTAGTAGTTGTCTACTTGATGAATATTATTGAGGAAAATATTTTAATTTTTGGAAAATCCTATAAGTTAGATTTACTTGACGTATGTATTGTGGGTTTGATGGCGAAAGAGATTCTATCATTTATGGATTTATGCAAGACTTATTTAAATAATTGTAGACTATGGTCCAAATATAATAATTAAAGGAAATACTTCATTGTCGGTATAGTTGAGTTGTATTAAATTTGGTTGCGACTTAACCAAAAAGGCAAAATTGGGTGTGATTGATGGAATCCTTTAACTTTTTTTTATAAAAAAAATAGAAAATAATTTAAAAAATGAGAGACCATATCGATTTCCAATTTCCAAATTCAAAAATATCATTACTATAATTTATATGTCATCTAGCGTTCGCATCACGGATCTCTCTGTGAGCAGAGGATTGAGAACGTCATTAGCAAATGTGTTGTCCTTAAACTCTTACAAGGAATTGGTTAGCCTAATTAATCAATAATAATATAGGACTGTGTAGTATCAAGCTTGTGCCGTCTATACATGTAAGACAAAACTCTAACAAAATCAATCCAATCGAATTAATAAATTGATTTCTTTTATATAATCAATTTTTCTACAGTTATGGAGAATTCTGATTACCAAATTTATTTGTGAAACTCGATTATAACGTACATTTTTGTCATAATTTTCCGACAAATCAAATTGTGTAGAGATAGGTTTAGGTGTCTAACCACTTAAAACTCTTTGAACATATCTAATCCAATCGGATTCTTTGTCATTCGATTGATTTAGTATACCGTTTTTTGCAGTTTGTAAATTGATATATATATATATATATATATATATATTGGCATTATATATCCAAAACATGTTAGATTTAATTATTTAAAATATGTGCGTAAATCATGATGGTTTATAAACCGCCTTGCCGCAAATAGAATAGGAAAAATACCATGGCTTGTGTATAATATGACCTTTATAATTGATAGTTTAAAAGGTACGTGTCTAGACAAATTGAAAGGTATGTGTCTAGGTACACTGCAGATTATAACGGCAAACCTTTTTGTTCTTTTAATACACAACTTTGTTTGTTTTCATTCCTGCTAAACTTATAGTATAATTTTATGTATATTTGTGTGGTGTGTGTGAGTGTTTGAGATAAGTGTGTACTTTTATATATTATATAATGCATGTGCTGATGTGCCGCGTTGGGATAGTTGCAGAAATTCGTATACGATGTCATTAATCTTATGAGTTCACGAACAAAAGTAACGACCGACTTAAAAGTAATAAAAAAATCCTTTAAAAATAAATAATAATACACTGTTTGTAATACCGTAATAGTAATGTAGACAATACTGTAGAGAAATTAAATGGATGAATCTAATGTGTTACATGGCCGGCGGGAATTTCGGGAGGTGTATCTTTGATTGCTGATCAAAGCAACACTTTTTTTGTTTTTTTACTGATACATTCAAATATTCAATATTATTTGTACCGATGATAAGCCCACATATTGATGACTAAAAGAACAAAAGAAACTTACTCTCATTTTTGCATATTTGTTTACATATATATATATATATATTCAAAGTACAAACAAGTTCAATTATATATAACAATAATCCAAATTTCCAGACATGTTCCAACTCGATAAAATGGGAAACAAGTGTGCAATAGCCATGATGGGACCAATTATTTCTTAAAGTATTAGATACTTTTTGGTCAATGTACATATATATATATATATGCTAAATTGCTAATATCTTAATCTGTATAACTAGACATTGGACGATATATACATAGATAAAAGTCTCAAACTGTATATAGAGGAATTGAAATAAATTGGACGTTGAAGTTGAACAATAAAATCCCCATTATGCAGAGAGGAGTAGTGGAAAACAGTATATGATAATATCAATATGCATGGAGAAACAGACTTATAAATATAATCACGATCAAATATATACTTTTCATACAAAATATAGATTTTTGGCTTTATCTTTTGTTTATTTAATTTAAAGAAATTTAACTTTAAAAACTAAAATTCCAGATTATATTATAAATTTTAAATGAAACGTAGTAAACTAACCGTTTTGTAGATTATGCAGGTTGATGAAAAAAATTACGAGAGAGAATATATATCGTTCTATTATTTTAATTTTACTTCTTCGAGAGATCTAAAACATAAGTTTTATAATTTTCTTCCTCTGGATATTTTTTTTTTAACTCTACGATCTCTTAAATAATTTAATTTCTGTAAGGCCTTTATTAAATTGACAAAGAAATGTGCATAGATTTTTTGTGTGGTTGCGTGGGCTCTGAATAAATTATCACCTAAATTTTTGTTTCATGTAATGAATGTGCCTAAAGATAAGCATCAAGGAAGGCCATATGACCCAAACAAATCAAACACACACTTAGCATTTATTTCTTTTCTGTATTATTATTTATTCATTCACATTAATTTTCCAACCGATACACTATCCAGTATTAATGTATTATTATGAAAGACAAATGATTTAAAAAATCTACGTTAAATGCTTGTACTTTAATTAATGCATATGAAACCATACGCAGAGAAAAAAATGAAAAATGGGTTATATGGGTAATTAAATTGCATTATGAAGCCATTGAATTTTTATTAGCATTTTTTTAACAATGAAATAAACACGAGAATAATCAATGGTAAATACTCATGAAACATTACACGACAATGACAAATGAGTCAAAGCAAATTATAATAAAAATCTTGATATATAATTTTGTCCTGGTCGACTTCCTCTTCTTCTGTTTTCCTCCTATTTTTCATTCGCATGCGTAAGCAAAGTTCTGATCGACTTATTTTTTGCGAGTAACTATTGACCACGCAAAAAATGTATAATTCCAATAATGTATTTTAACTATATATACATATAATTCCAAAAAAAATAGCTAAAACAAAAGCAAACGATATATGGGTCCTTTAAAAATATGCACATTATCTTCTATTTTTAACTCGGTGTAGATGTGATCTGAAGTGTATGAATTTTTCAAAAAATAGTTATTACAAAAAGTGGTGAGCCTTTATATGACAATAGGAAAATATTACAAGTAGGGTTTTGTGGTGGACGGACATGTAAGTCTTCTATACTTCATGATGCGAAACAAACAAATTTTTTCGGATGATCTGTACTAAAGCTCATACATCTTTTTAGATTCGAACGAGTTTTTAATATTTTATCCATCCCAGTTACTACTATCATGTGACCAATCTTTAATCTAGATTTATAATTAATAATAAGCATGAAGAAAACAGTTATAGCTAGTTTAATCGATGGCTGCTTCCGTTGGATCCAAATTCGAAAAGAATTTTAAGATTGGACAAATATTTTACGATCAAATATTTTTTTGTTATTATTATAAAGAAAAGTGTAGTTAACAAGTAAAAAAATCTAGATACATTCGTTATATATTCTATTCTTTTGTAATTAAAGAAGCTTTTTATCTCTTGTGCGTCACTTGCATAACCGACGGGTTATCAACGCAATCTGTTTTTTTATCAGTGAAGACCGTTGATGACAATATGAGTTTAAGAATAATGGTTACCGCGGACTTCAATATTTGTATTTGTTAAAAAGTCGTATTACTAATTTCATATAACACAGCTAAATCTCCGTCTTATTGGTTGATCAAAGTAGTAAGAAGTCAATCATTTAGGAAGTATACATATGACTATAACAATACGGCATATTCGGAATTATGTTTTGATGGAATGTGAAGGTTTGAACATTATTTTATGATAAGTGACAAAAAAACAAAACACAAAATCAAATAGGTCAATGGAAGACACGCGTTATTATAATGTGAAAGGAAAGAAGCCAATAATCATCTTTTTGGCTTGATTTAGTATCGTTTTTTTATATATATCTCTAAGTAGCATAATAAGAGGAATTGAGGACTATCCCTTTCCCATTGTTTAAGCCAAGAAAAATTATGACCAAAAGAAAATTTGGCCTATTAAAGCGTAATATAATTCACTTTGTTTTTTTTCCAACTATATATAATAACCTGATAGGTGATAAGTATAAGAGTACAATACGCCGCATACGCATTAGTATCTACCTAAACAATACGCTGTTCACTACTCAGACCTGGATTATACAGCCCCAAATATCCGAATCTTCGGTGTGAATCGAATTGGACCATAATTATTTATTCAGCTAACTCATTATGAGCAGTATTTCGATTTTGTAACGTCCGGATATTGACTTGCTTGATAAACTACAATAATGAGAGAGAGAGAGAGAGAGAGAGAGAGAGAGAGAGAGGTGGGTGTAAAATTGAAAAGAACACTTTTGTTTTGTGTGATTAGTTGTGTTGGGTAAAAGCTTGACCTAGAAGATGACACGATGGTGCTCAAAATGTGTAAACACATTACACAAGTGCATGTGTAAGTAAAGCCGTTAAAATAATCATTATTTGTTACTTTGTTTTCCCTTGTCATCATATCATGCTCCATTCATCTATCATTTAGACTTTGTGAGAAAGTAAGAAAGTCTCTGAAAAGAAAATAAAAGTTTCATCTTTTTGATCAATCCATTTTCTCTTTTCTTCTCAATGCGCACCGACAACGTTTTTGACTTCAAAAACAAAAGTAGAACTCGTGTGTGAAAAGCAAGATTCTTTTTTCCTTTTCTTTTTCTTATTTTCTTTCTAGTATGAGGTTTATATGTTATATATGTATAAGTATATAATCATAATATCCAAATATTGTTTCCACAAGGATCATACATGTATATAACTCTTACAAAGTTATATACTGAGAACTTTAGAAAGTATTACTTAAATTTGTTTTCATTCTCGAGTTCAAAAAATATACACAAAAATTCCAAATTTCTCATTGTAAAACTAACTTATGCAACTTAAGTCGAACTTAACATGTTTCATGCAATAAAATATATGCACACGCATGGGAATTCCATAAAATATAAAACCTATTTTCAAAGATGTAGCCTGCATAATAGGTTTGTTTGACATTTTCTTGTTTAGAGA